AGTACAGGAGATACACTCAATGCCAGAAAGGCCCCAGGAATCCAGATGAGTTTCTCCAAGAACCTGCCTTAGGTCCCACCCACTCCACTTCACCTCCAAACCCATTTATGGCAGAGCAAAGAGCAGCAAAAGTGTTTTAATATCTAGGTATTCCTCTTGGACCCACTCAAGTAAACTGATGCAAAATGATCTTTCCTTCAGCTTTCATCTTTGGACCACTTAAACATAAAACAACAAATCGTTTAAATAGGGATACAGGTGGACCCATTGCAACAATGAGATGTGCAAGTCGTTATGTCGAAAGAGAACTTTACAACTTTCATGGGGGGGGCAGGGAGGATTGGGTGGCGGGGGGGGGGGGGGGGGGGGGGGGGGGGGGGGGGAGGGGGGGGGGCCGGGAGGAGGATGGGAAGGGATGGGAAGGGGAAACAAAGGAGGAGGCTACAATGCTTGATAAGAAATGTACTCATTATCTTGCCCATGTAATTGTAACTCCTCTGTAGTATTTTCACAATTAAAAAAAAAAAACATAAAACAAAAATTCCTTTTCAAGTATCTAGAAAATTGCTGAACCCTACTGCTCTTACTAGGAGCATGAGTAATGGAGAGCAAAAGGATAGCTCTCTTGATTAGCTCTCTTTAGAGGAATGATCTATGGACATACTTGAGAAAAATTCAAGAGGACCATTTATCTTTCTTGCTGTTGTGTTTAATGTACTATGTTATTTTTTTGTTTGTTTCTTTTGTATGTTCTTCCCCCATGGTATAACCCCTGCTCTCACCGTATTTGATTCTGGTGCCCTGCATCTTGTATATACATTTTTCTAATTTGGGGAAGGGAAGGGAAATAAAAAAATGCTGAAACAAGGATACTGGTTGACCCATTGTAACAATGAGATGTACAAGAAACTATGTTAAAAATGAACTTTACAACTTCAGATGGGGGCAGAGGGAGGACTGGGGGAGATGGGGAGGGAAGGGATGGTAGGGGAAAAACAAAGAAGGACATAACAATGCTTGATAGGAAATGTACTCATTACCTTACTCATGTAGCTGTAACCCTTCTGTACAGTATCTTTACAATAAAAATATGTATCAATAAAAACAAAAATATCCATTCAATTTTTATATTCACTTTTTATTTTGGTTTTGTTATTATTATGGATTATTGTTATTTATTATGGTTCAACTTACACATAAAATTAGATATTTTTTCATGTGTAATATAATAATATTGTAAAATATATGTATTGCTGAAGGAAAGACCCTTTTGCATTTCCATTTACTTGAGTGGATAGATTCAGATAGCTAATCAACACCTGCACTTACCTCCCTTTTCCTTTCATGGTGACAGACCCTAACTTTTATTTCACAAATACCTCATTCCAGAATAGGAATTTGTTTTTAACTGAGATAAGCATGCATAGAATATATGTAGTGCTCAGATATGAGTATGAGTCAGAAAACTGACCTTAAAATCACCAATTGTTTGATTTGAAACAGCCTTTTAAAGATAAATGTGAAATGCAAGGTCTTCTTGATAGGGTGTGACTAATGCAGGCAGAATGCTTCTAGATCACACAGATCTGCAAACTATGGTGTCCCTAGAAAACATCATTTTTGTTTGAGGGAAGATTCTTCTGCTTATAAACAACCTTAAATTTCTTTAAACATCTTTCATATCAAGGTCAGCAATTTTAAAAACTGAAAATAGCAGTGTGATTTTTGTTTTTACTTTTTGATTTCGTACTTTGGAAGATTTTTCTCTAAATTATCATTTTACGTTTGCCTTTAATACTCTTTAGGAAAATAACATTCATTATCACCTCAAGTGACTACTTTTCCTACCTTTTCCCATAGAAATCCTTAAAGGAATTAATATTTCTTATGCAACTCAAAAGAACACACAATGAGAAAGTGGAGCCCTTTTCTGTCACCAACACAGAGTCTGAGAAGATTGCAGACTAAATCAAGTAATAGTTTCAGCAATAGTCCCAACCTTCTAGATTTGCAGAAAATTATGAAATATTTCTTTATAAGTTCAGCTTCCTGTACTTACTGAACTCAAATATTTTCCTGTAGCATGGAAAGAAGGCGGTGCACCAGTCGGTCTACAGGAGTATTTCCTCCACCACCAGCCATCTTGTGCTAAAGTGAGACTCTTCAATTTCATGAAGACTGAAGTCTAATAAGAACTTATTTTTTAACCACATAAATAAAAAGTCTCAGGAAGACTCAGATTCAAGTATGGGATTTTCTCTTGCTTTTTTCAGATCCTCTAGCAGGAAAATAAAAAAATCCATTTTCAGACAGGCAATTACAGACCAGACATCCACTAAGCTGTGATGATTTTGGAAAACTTGCTTGCATGGCTGGCTGGTGCTCTATCACTTGAGCCATACCATCAGCCTTGTATTTTGCTGGTTCTTTTAGAGATAGACTCTAACAAACTTTTCTGTTCAGACTGACTTCTAACTGCAATCCTTCAGATCTCAGCCTCCTGTAAAGCTACAATTATAAGTGTGAGCCACTTGGCTCTAATGTACTCTCACCAGAAACCTCTCTTCCCTTCCCTCCCCCCACCAAATCCCATCAGCTTTGTCATTATCTTGTTTTCCATGGCTTTATGTAATTCCCAAGGCTGGGTAGTGGATAAAGGAAGGTGTTTTGTTAGTGAACAGTTGTGGAAGATGAAATCACAATCACACTAGTGAGGGTGCCTCATGACATCACATCATGACAAATAACATCAGGACAAAAGCACATGCCGGAGAAGGATCGACACCCAGAGAAAACCCAGACATACTGGGAGGAGCTTGGTCTTGCCCTTCATAGGCTGTTATAGCCCACCATCAGTAACTAGCCGGGGTCTCACAAGAGCTGTGATTCCTTTTAAGGGAAACAAAACAATGTCTTAATGACCATCCATTAGGGTATGTCTCTTAAAAGCATCATCACTGCTTAACATCACTTGAGCTTCAAGCACATGAACCCCTGCAGAACAAACTACATCCAAAATCATCCAGACCACAGCAGCTTAGTTGAAACACGAAGCCATCCCTGAACTTCCACCGGCCCCAGTCACATCCATCCTCATACTGTCAATAGTAGCCAGTAGATGGACCAATGGGAAGCGGGTAGCTCTCCAGAGCAGAGCTGAGGCTCTATGCTAAATTCAGGTAAATAGATGTTGAAGGTAAAACATAAAAGATGCTCACGATTTACAACACACACGTCCACCATCAATTACTATTTGTTTTGGAATTGTACTTGATCATCTCTTCTACCTGACAATTCTACTTTCTGCAACCAAATACCTAGTAGGAAAAAAGTACATGTCCCTATGCAGACTTGTCGGTAAATGTTTACGATAGTTAATATATAATGCAAAAGGCTGTATGCAACTCAGTATCTAGATGAATGAATATGAGAATGTGATGTGTGTGTGTGTATATATATATATATCATATATCTGTACATATACACATCACAGATATATGTATAAGTATATAATATATATGGGATTCTTCCTGGCAATAAGTACAAATGAAATTTTGATGCACGCAACAATAAAGAGGAACTCAAAATAATTACATTAAATGAAAGAAGATCATAAAAGAACACATAATGAAATTTGAAAAAATGCAAACTAATTTGTGATAACAGAGAACCAAAATCAGTGACTGAAAAAGGACAGGATTGAAGAGCTCTGGGAGGAAACGTTTTGGGGGGTGGGGGTGACAGATACATTCACTAACTTGATGAGGGTTAGTATGTTTTTTTTCTGACAAGGGCAAGATAATATATATTTTGCATTTTGCAGGCTGAATGATCTCTGTCACAACTTTCCAGGTCTGCCCCTACAGAACCACCTGGCTACAGGTTAAAAGAATACAAGTAAATAGCGTGGCTCTTTTCCAATATACTTTTTACAAAAAGGGCCAGTGGCCCAGTTGGGTTCATCAGTCTCTAATTTTAGTTAGTTGAGTGTGCATGTGAAAACTTGTACATTTTATGTCTCACTTATTAGATGACAACTATGTAATAAAAACTATTAGAAGTTTTAAAAGTTACATTACCTTAGCTTTCCATCATAAACTGAATGAATTGTAATCTTCTATCCATGGCACGCACATTTCTCCATACACTGGCTTTATAGCCATGTGCTTATGGTCTAAAGATAACCTACTCTTTCAGAACCATCACCACCCACTGCTGGAATCCTACCTGTCTGCCATGGCATATACATTTCAACTCTACTCCTTTGTGAGTGTTCTCTCTATTCTGTCTGCCTAGAGTTCTCTCTCTTCTCTCTGCCTAGAATCACCTAGCCCTACCATTAGTTCAACTAGTTCAACTCGTGTGCTTACTGAACGGTTCATACTGAAAATACTACCTTTGGTCCTGTGAACTTCCAGGATATTTTCCATTTTACTCATCCTATTTACTTGGCCTATGCGTATAACTTCATCTCCATGTCCTTCAATGGCCTGTACATCAGTGTATGCATGTGTGCATGTGTTATGTGTGCACATTGTGAATCTGTGTTTGTGTGTGTACATCTGTGGATCTGTGTGTATAAACAGAAACAAAAAGAGATTACTATGCACTCTTACAGTGTTCTAGGAGTTCAGCTATATCTATATATCTAAAAATGTAATATAATTAGAATTATTATCCAGTCTCTGCCATTACGACCTGACTGAGAGCTTCCTGTGTCAATTATGTCTGCCTCTAGGCCTGCCACAGTTAAACCGAAACAATGAGTCAACATGTTTACTGCTGTACAACCATTCTGAAGAAAACTAAAATGTAGAATATTTTATGTATTTTTCCTATAGGCACTTGGTTGTAGACAACTACACTAGTCATTTTAAAGTGTTCTGTAACTGATGACAAGTTAACTGTCCATGAATCCATGCACTCTTCCTCCTGGAAGCCTTTGCGATTCCAGGTTGATGTCTCTACTAAACAGTTGCTGTTCTTCCTTCATCCACTAGATACACCAAGATGAAGACAGCTACCAACATCTATATCTTCAACCTTGCTCTGGCAGATGCCTTGGCCACCAGCACCTTGCCGTTCCAAAGCGTCAACTACCTGATGGGGACTTGGCCCTTTGGAACCATCCTCTGCAAGATCGTAATCTCCATTGACTACTACAACATGTTCACCAGCATCTTCACCCTCTGCACCATGAGTGTGGATCGCTACATTGCTGTGTGCCATCCAGTCAAGGCCCTGGATTTCCGCACTCCCCGAAATGCCAAGATTGTCAATATCTGCAACTGGATCCTGTCTTCTGCCATCGGACTGCCTGTAATGTTCATGGCAACCACTAAATACAGGCATGGTGAGTGGATGTTGCAGGCCCAGTGGGCAAAGGGTTTATTTCTAGGTGTGTCGGTGATGTTATGAGCCCAGTAGCACTTTTAGAGCAGTTTGAGGTCTTAGTCAAATTAACATTCTAGTTATTCTTTCTAGCACAATGACCTTGAATATTTTGAAACTGGAAGTTTTCCCTGTAATTTAGGCCTCTTACATGTTTTAAACAGAATATAGTCACTTTGTTTCTTAATTTCTCTGAACTTTTTTCACCAAACAAGTAGGTAAGTATGAACACAGAGCCCCTAAAAGTCATTACAGTTTAAACCCAAAAGTGTTACACTGAGCTTTGTTTGAAATGTTATATGGTTGCCTGCCTGACGAATTTATCTTTTTCGAACAGCAGGATAATGAACTACCCATTGCAAAAGCAAGTGAAAGCATCTATTAGCTGAGCCTCCCAGAGATTATGGTCAATTATTGTATTTTTCTATCAATAAAAATGAAGTGTCTGATACCTGGTGAGAGGTTCGTCATTGTTGGCGGACTGAAAGCTTCATCTGACCAAGTAGATGTCAAAATGAGATACTTAAGAAAGACTCAACACGATTGCGTTTCTTCCACATTTTCTTTCTTTCCCCTGCCCCCTTGCTGTATTGTACAGTAATAGAGTTCATTGAGCTCTGGTCAAGGCTATAAATTTGGAAGCAAAATGGTGATGGTCATACTCGGTGGTATCATTCAATTTTGCATCAAATGCTTCCCTTCTAGGATCCATTGATTGCACCCTCACCTTCTCCCATCCAACCTGGTACTGGGAGAACCTGCTGAAGATCTGCGTCTTCATCTTCGCCTTCATCATGCCCGTCCTCATCATCACGGTGTGTTACGGACTGATGATCCTACGCCTCAAGAGTGTGCGCATGCTCTCAGGCTCCAAAGAAAAGGACCGGAATCTGCGAAGGATCACCAGGATGGTGCTGGTGGTGGTGGCTGTGTTCATCGTCTGCTGGACGCCCATCCACATCTATGTCATCATCAAAGCCTTGATTACCATCCCAGAAACGACTTTCCAGACGGTCTCCTGGCACTTCTGCATAGCCCTAGGCTATACCAACAGTTGCCTGAATCCAGTCCTTTATGCATTCCTGGATGAAAACTTCAAACGATGCTTCCGAGAATTCTGTATCCCCACTTCCTCCACCATTGAGCAACAAAACTCCACTCGCGTCCGTCAGAACACTCGGGACCACCCCTCAACTGCCAACACAGTGGACAGGACGAAACATCAGGTATGCCCTTTCCAGAACTAATGATGCCTCCTGGGAATGATACAGAAATCACAGTGGTGCTAGTCTAAGACTGTAGGCTCTCCCAAAATTAGTAACTAGGAGATTGAGATGAAGCCTGAGCATGCAGGGAGAAATATGGAGCAAATTGTGAACACGGTGTCAGCAAAGAGCTATCGTTCACAAGCGTAATCGATGTGTACGTGTTTGTCTAAATATAAGGGTCAGTCAACTAGCAAGCCATAAACCTGCTTCAAAAATCACCCTCTTCATGGCCTTTCCTTCGTAATGATGGTGGCTCATTGTGAAACTGGTCCAGATCTAGAATCTTTCTCATGCTACCCAGAAATGCTACATATTTCAAAAATATCACTGCAATAGCCCTGTCACTTCTTAAAAGGTAATCTTATTCCAGTTCTGTGGTTAAAGAGCCTAGATACCTGAGGCTGTGGGTGTGAGATGTTCCAGAAAAATCAGTGCCCCTGGGGACAAGTTATGTCCAATATTTGAAATATTTGCATCTCCATGTCTATGCCCAGGATATACAAGCTTGGAGCCTACATGAAAGATTTAAGATTTACACACAATATTATAATCAGACAAGAAATCAACAAAGACCCTGTCTCCAAGTTAGTATCACAGGTTTGTAAAGTTTGACATCTGATCTATAAAGCCAGACCTATAACCTGAATATTCATATTCATTTAAATAATTAAATTTAAAAGTAATGGTGCGCACATTCAAAATCCGTGTCATGTGTAATTTCAGGCCATATAATTTAAATTCAAAGTTCATAAGGAGTCTATGTTTGAGTCAGAATTGTGGATGAAATTTCTAGTCTTACAGTTCCAGATTGTATGAATCAAGCCTCCATAAAAAAAAAATGAATAAGAAATCATGTCAGAAGGAGCAAGACAGAGGTCAGGGGAGATAGATACTTCTCTTGCTACCTCTTCATCCCATCTTATATTGTGCCCTGATACTGCACCTCCTCTACTGCCACCCAATCCAGCCCAGGCTCATCCTTTCAAACTATAGACCTGCCTTAGGGAACATCAATCCTCATACCCAGAGATGAAATCATCTCAACAAACCTAGAACCGACATTTCCCTAGAGAGAGAGCATTCCTTAATGGTGGCAGACCTAACTCCAGCTAAAAGGAAATTATTAACTTAATATGCCCTACTTCTAATCCCATCTCAGACATGAAAGCCAGAACAAAATGGTTTTCTATTCTCCTTCTTCTCTCTTCTCTTTTTCTATATCAAGACCTGCTCCTTTTTCTGAGTAGCTCTCCTTTCTAGTGGCTATTAAAGTATTGTGAGTTGCTTTAAAAGGATACAGCTTTAAACTGATTTTTCTCCAACTAGGGGGATAATGTATTAAAGAATGCCGTTCAAAGCTCTTGGTCCTAAACTAGGGTTGAAATCTTTTGCATTGGAATAACGTATTTCCATTTGAAGCAAAATGGTGGTTATTAGAAAATGTTGGCTCTTTCTCCTTGTTACCTACCTGTTCTTTCTCTTCCAGGCTCTTTGGTAGTGTGCCCTAGCCCACCCCTGGGGGTTCTTATCATAGCTGACCCTTTGGGCCACCCTCACGGCCTCCTTCTCTTGAAAGCATAGCCCCCAGCCTGTCTCCTGAGTTAAGCTTGATTGTCCTTCAATTGCTGTGACACTGTCTTTGACACCCCTCCAGACACAGTACTTCCACATCCGTGTGCTTCCTGCTCAGGCAGATTGAGGAGAAAGGATGCTAATTGGAGAAGTTCTGGTCTAAGTAGCTAAAAGGTTTGCTTCATAAATACATCCAATTAGAGCTTATCTTCACCACTGCCTCTGTAAAGCAGTATCAGTGTCAGATAACAGCAGAAACACATTATCCTGGAATTGGCCATCTCCCAAATTCCCAGCTGGGAGAACTGGACTTAAAGCGAAGCTGCCAAGAAGAAGTAGAAAGGCTATCCTGACAGAGTTGAAAATTAAGATAATTCCAAGATTACTGCCACTAATGTTTACTGATGTGTCATGATTTGAATTACAGTGTTTACACACAGAGGATTGGAATAATATGTATACTCCCAGTGACTATTTTAGTCATATTTGTCAATTCAATTCAGTTTGCAAATGAAATCAGAGCCTGTATACTTTTATCTATAGAATTCATCTAATTAATGGCCCAAATTCAGAATCCAATCCACAAGTGCTATGTTATTATGGGATGTTCATTTGTTTGTTGGACATCATGAGCTATTATGTTAGTTCACCGGATTTCCACCAGCTTTTCAACTGCTTGTCAGAAGTTTGTCATGGTATCGATGTGTATGTTCTGCCTATGTATTTGCATTTACCCAAAGCAATATATTATTGTATCTATGTCACATTTCAAGCACACTAGTCAACTTCATATTCTGCAGATCAAAGATCCAATGTCAACCCTCCCCAAGGTGTCTGTATTCTGACAACTGTACACTGAGGCCCTGTCCACACCGCACAAAGTGAAGTGGCGTTGTAGCTGTTATCAAGGTAATTCGATAAGCCATATCAGAAAGTTCTGTGTTCAGACTAAGCTGTGAGTCATACTTAAACAGTTAAAGGCATCTCCTCCCATTTTTGCTGCACAGCATTCCAAAACCCAGGGGCCTGAGCCAACCATTGATTTCGATTACAGTTGTATGTGCCACTAACTGGGGATGGACTTGCCCACAGTATGTAAGATAGCCCAATCGAGGGTGGCCACTACAGGAATGGCTGGCTCTGTGTGGATTCTCATCCTCCGGCCCAGGTTTCTTCTCACAGGTTTAGAAAGAGAAAGAATCGAGAACCAGGTTTTCTTGAGGCCTAGGTTCAGGCAGAAAGTCGCTTCCATGACTGACATGGGTCGAGGGAAGTCCCCAGGTCAATGTAGATTCAAGGTGATGGCAAAGTAAGCTCCATCTCTTCCTGACTGAGCTGCTGGTTGCTTAGTGGGAGGGGTGGGGGAGGGGAGGGGAATATGGTCCCTGTGATGACAACTGCAATGGATGCAGGCTTCAGAGGACAGGCTAGCCACTACTTCCTGTAGCAGGAACAGGACTTCCTGGGCCTCCAGTATCTCCCCAGCCTGGTGTCTGGCACTCTTAAATTACCTGTTGAGTGAATGAATGAACGAATGGTAAGCAGGCTCCTAGCATTTCAGATGTGGAAGATATAGGAATGACCTTTTTATGTGCCACCAGTCGACAATCAAAGGGGCTGTATGATACTCCAGCCTCGCTACTTCAGGCCTCCTCTTCAAGAACAGGGAAATATCCACAAGTGGCCTTCTTTGCTTTCTCCTCACCAGCCTTTGGTGATCGGATCATGAATTACACTTCGACAAAAACTTGATTTGCTCTATGCCTGTCTCCTAATTGTTTTTCATTTGTGTATCTATTTTGTTGTTTTTATTATTTTGTTTGGTTTTGTTTTCTGAGAGCAGTTTTCATTCAGTAGCTCAAGCAGGTCTCAAACTCATAATCGTCCTATTTCTACTTCCCAACTGCTGGGATTATTGGCATGTCCCATCACACCCAGCTCTTACAAGTAGTTGTGATGATAACAAGAGCTGAATTCAGTGTCCCAAAGAAGTCATGACCTTGCTCATGTAACTGTAACCTCTCTGTACGGTATTTTTACAATAAAAAAGTATTTAAAAAAAAAGAAAATCATCATCCCAATTTTACAAGATAAAGCAATACCTTGAAAAATAAAACAACAAAAAAAGTCTGACATTGAGTATTGAGGAAAAAAATAAGATAGTCTCTCCTGTTCTTAGCTCATTATAACATGCAGAATGCCTGATTTATATTCAGCTTGCTGTCTTTATGGCTTCTTGGTCTTTATTAGGTAGAACCAGGCATAAGCATTTATTTTCCATCTGCCCTCAGAACAATTTGATTTGTCTGCCTACTTACCATTCTCCGTTGTCTCATTAAACTCCTCTCTGCATCATAATGCTTCTCTACATTTACTGATTATGGCAGATCCAACTCCTATCTGAATACTGTTCATTGCTCACCTGCCTTTCCCACTCAGTCTCTACCCCAGCTTCACTCTACACTTTCTACTGTGACATGTGGTGAATTTGGTAACATGATATAGGAAAAGGGGCAGCTCTATTAGATCCCCTGGGTTTCTTTATAAATACTGTAACAAAATACTCTAACACAATACTGCATACCAATTAAAGAGGGCTTTCATTTGCACCACTACATCTCTTTCCCGTGATAACCTTAATAGGCAAGCATGACATAACAAATGCTCATTGAAGTTAAACCATGATAGAAGATAGAACCACCAGGGAGAGGCAGCATTCCAAGGACCATCCAGGCATCTACTATCGACCCCAAGCGTTGCCCTACTTCTTCCTGCCAACGCCATTTTCAGTTAGCGTTGTATGAAGTCACCCAGAGATCCTCAAACTGTCACCTCTGGGGGAAAGAAGTGTAAGTTGTTCCTAACTCCCATAAGAAGTCAGAGCCATTGTGTGAGAATACAGAAAAAGAATATGCATTTTTAATAAAACACTTAAGCTACATGTTCAATGGAAACTGTAGCTTTATCTCTTAAACATTTCCAGATTTTCTGCCTTGTCTAGCTTGGGTAATCAGTCAAGCTTTTTGACAGGAGTCCTGTAAGATTACCTATCGTTGAAAAAGCTTTAGTTGGCTAATACAGCTATCCCTGAGCTTTCCAAGACAAAATCATGCCACGTCAATCAAGCTAACATCCTGGCATGACCTGCTGCACAGCAAGTTCATCTCTAAATTCCCCGGTTACATTTTTCAAGCCCTTTTTTACTGACATTTCAAAGTAGCAGCTTGAGAAATGACACGAGGTGCTTTCATTCCGATTACTTATAAAATAATACTATCCCCAGCTAATCTAAAAGCACAGGCCTGATTTTAAAATCAATTGTACCACTCACAAAAGTTAGTTTGGTTTTTGCAAGACATCTGTAGAGAGCTAATTTGGGAAGGAAATGATTTCAGTTCCATAACAAAAGCCCCGGATGAGAAGAGCTCTCAAAAATTATAGGAACTGACCACATTAATGCATATTTTCTGAATGGAACCAAAGTAACTTTTCTTCCAGTTCCAATAATCTCTGAATATATGTGCCTCTGTACATAGGTAGAATTAGAGTATATATACATTTCAAATAAGAAAAAAGTCACAAATAGAAAAGCGTGGCATGATTCTAACACTGACTATAATCATGGACTATATGTTACCATTTAAACAGAAAGATATTAATTTTCAGAAAATATTTGTCTTTAAGATTAATATTTACTAATGAGTTTATAACTGGAATTGTTCATATGGACTATCAATGAGAAAAATAATGGCCAGGGACATATTTGGCCCAAGGTGACAATTTAAAAATAGATGAAGATGGGGCTGGGAAGGTGGCTCAGTGGTAGAGCACTTGCCTTGCATGCCTGAGGCCCTGGGTTCGATTCCTCAGCACCACATAAGCAGAAAGAAAAAAGCTGGAAGTGGCGCTGTGGCTCAAGTGGTAGAGCGTTAGCCTTGAGCTGAAGAGCTGAGGGACAGCACCCAGGCCTAGAGTTCAGACTCCAGGACCAGACTCCCCCCCCCCCTCAAAAAAAGAGGTCTGAATAAGTTAATGTAGATAATAAATACTTTAAAAAAATAGATGAAGATGAACTCAAATTACATTTGATTTTTATGACACAGACTTCATCAATATACCTGCTGTATGTTTTTTTTTCTTCTCAGAGTGATTGCTAGTTTTGATGATAGGAATAACTAGCTCAATTAATGCAGAACTTTTTGTGCTTGCTATTCTAGTTAATGTACAGAACTTATAAAACACAGCAAAGTACATTTCACTTCAAAACCAATTTAAAATTGGATATTATTATTTGGCTAAAATATTGTCATTTATTGTGATTTGGTGTTTTGAAACATGTCCATCTTGATTTTCTATGTCAGGAAGCTAATGGGAAAGGTGGATATTTTTCTCTTTTTACTTTCTACCACACCTCATTTCATTTTACTTCTGACTTTTTTGAAATGCAGTTTAGTGGTATCTTGGTATCTTTTATTTATAAGTCACCACCATTTTATAATGTTACAAGATTACACTGAACAAAAAAACTTATAAGAGCTACTAATCCAGACAAAATATATCTTCCTAATAATCCTTCTTTCTAACTATTCCCTAGAAATCAAGAAACAAGTTCATAACTCTTGTCAAACCTCTCCCTCCTGGTGCACAAATTTCTTTCCTTATACTATAATTCATGGCTTCGATGTGGCTAGACACTTTTGATAATGTAAGAAAATATTAGAGAACCATATTGTCTGTGACTTCTACTAGTTACTATAGTAAAACCACATGACATTCATATCTATGTGATATAAATGGAGAAGATGCGAAACAGAATCTAACTTCAAGTGCTAAGGAACTGTTGGAATACTTTTTAAAATCATGAATAAGTGGGGCTGGGAAGGTGGCTCAGTGGTAGAGTGCTTGCCTTGCATGCCTAAAGCCCTGGGTTCGATTCCTCAGCACCACATAAGCAAAAAGAAAAAAGCCGGAAGTGGCACTGTGGCTCAAGTGGTAGAGCGCTAGCCTTGAGCTGAAGAGCTGAGGGACAGCGCCCAGGCCCAGAGTTCAGGTCCCATGACCGGACCCAAAAAAAAAAAAAACATGAATAAGTTTTGAGGCCTAAGATTCCATGTGACTCTGGTTACTGCCACTTCCAATCTGTGACATGAAGCAATGAATGTTGGTAGGAACCTACACCAAATGGGAGGGAAGTATGAATTTAGCATAGTACTTCTTGTTTTACTGTCTATAATCAATAGACACATACCATTTTTACTTTCTATAATATCTGAACTTACTAGGAACACACTCAAAAAATACTTAGTCTTGCTAAAACACATTATTCAAATCTAAAAACCTAATAAATTATATTACATTATCTGCATACAATTATCAGATCCCAAATGAATGTATGCTGAAAGTTTCATCATAATTTGAAATTTTTTTCCTTTTAATCTATGAGTGAATATGTAGAAAAATAATTTGAGTTGTTCGTATAAACAAAAGAAGGACAAAAAGGAAGGAGGGAGGGAAAGAGAAAGAAGATACCAGGAGAACTACAAATTAGTAGAATAAAGTCTATCTTACTGGCAATTTCCCTAATTATTTGCCTAGAAGTCAAGAGCCCATAAGCTAATTTTTTTCTCGAACTTCTCCCTTTGGTAATGGAAAGGATAAGTGCCCTGACACGTTTTTACAGAATTTGAAAATGCTGCAGAGACTTGCTATATCACATTTCAGCAACTAAAACTTTTCTGGTTGATACACAAATTCAATGGGAAAAACAGACTTCCAGATGTCCAATGACAAGTAAATATCAACCTCTAAATCTCAGTGGCACAGTAGGATTAGTCAAACAGATGCA